ACTACGAATCCTATACAGATGTTATTTACTTTATTATAAAGTTTCTTCAACTTTAGATGTTTCTCCTACTAATATATTCCTGCCAATATAAACATTCAGAAGACCTTTATTCCTTCTTGTTCTCACAGACCACTGTAACACGTTTTTCTGAGAACTGATCCTGTTTCTATTGAAACACAGACCCGGAGAACTCGACAACTACTATCGTTTCCTTTAGACAGTTCCTTCTTCCTTTAACTGCCTGTGCCTGAGGTCAGCAACTGATAATACTGTGTTTCATCACACAGAAACCCTTAAGTTTTATTGGTGGCTAGAATTGTGTGTGTGTGTGTTTACACATGTGGATATATATATGTACCTATATGTATACGTATATTTAAACATACATAAACAAATGAAGTAAACATATATATATCGAGTACTGTGTTCAGTTTTGGGCCCCCCACTACAAGAAGGACATCGAGGTGCTGGGGACTGTCCAAAGAAGGGCAACAAAGCTGGTGAAGGGTATGGAGCGCAAGTCTTATGAGGAGCGGCTGAGGGAACTGGGGTTGTTTAGCCTGGAGAAGAGGAGGCTGAGGGGAGACCTTATTGCTCTCTACAACTACCTGAAAGGAGGTTGTAGCGAGGTGGGGGTCGGTCTCTTCTCCCTAGTAACGAGTGATAGGACGAGAGGAAACGGCCTCAAGCTGCGCCAGGGGAGGTTTAGGTTAGACATTAGGAAAAACTTCTTCACCGAAAGGGTGGTCAAGCATTGGACCAGGCCGCCCAGGGAAGTGGTTGAGTCCCCATCCCTGGAGGTATTTAAAAAATGGATAGATGTGGTGCTCGAAGACATGGTGTAGATGGACTTGGCAGTGTTAGGTTAACAGTTGGACTTGATGATCTTAAGGGTCTTTTCCAACCTTGACGATTCTATGATGATTCTATGATGATGATAATTCTATGATAAACAAACCATTAAAAATGTTCTTTTGGTAAAATACTATGCATAAGAATGTAAGGAAATTACTAAATGGTGATACAGTTTGTACAAGACTAGGAAGGAAATATGCCATAGGGTCAGAGGATGGCAGAGGTTGGAAGGAACCTCTGGGGCTTCTCGTCCAACCTCTTGCTCGAAGCAGGGCAACTTCAGTGTTAGGGCGTGTTGCTAAAGGCCATCCTTGTCCTGTCAAATTTTGAAAGTCTCCAAGGATGGAGATGCGGCAGCCTCTCTGGGCACTTCTTTCGAGGCTACATCACTGCCACAATGAAATTTTTTTTTCCTCCCAGTCATAATGTTGTCGAGATGGCCCAAGTTGTCTTCCCACTGTCCTTCATTTATTGAGTTTATACATATACGGGAAGCAACGATTGTAGCAGGTTTAAAACAAGCAAGCATCCTCCATCAGACATTGACCTACTGAGGGCCGTGTTGGGGCTGATGCCCTATAAGTGCAGCGGGATGAGCTCTGGGCCACATCTTTTGGCTGCTGCTGCTCTGCCTTCCCTCTGTGCGACAGCACGGCTGCATCCCGTCCTGCCAGGCTTCTCATAGCGTGCTCACTTTACAGGACTGCAGGATTAGGCAGACAACTGATAGGGTCTCTTAGGCAGCCTTTTACAGCTTATTGCAATGTGTAAGAAATACATTTCTGGTTTTTCTGCTTGGCTTCTTTTAGATTAAGGACTGTTCTCAAGCATTGTTCCTGAATTTAGACATTCTACCTTCTTTTTTTTTTTCTTTCTATATTTCTCACAGTAGGCGTGAACTGCACATTTATTTCAGGGATGGTTTCTGTAAAATCACATCAGCCTTCTTTTGGCTGACTCTTGTTACAGAAGGAACAAGGCAGGGATAGGCACTTTTGTGCTGACTCAGCGGTTTATGTTGCCTCTTTTCATGGCAGAAGCCTGAATCACCCCTTGGGCCTCAGTTCACTTCTGCTTACAAGCAAATGGATTTGTAAGTCTCTCCTGTCTTTCCTGACCTGGCAAATGATTTTGAGTAGCCACAAAAGCTCCCAAAATATTGAACGTGGTCTGCATAATAATTAGCAGCGATAAAAAAAAAGTTTGAGAGGTTTGTTCTTTAATTCCAGATAATTTTCTGTGTTTTGGAGAGAGAGCTTGTTATATATATGTATGTTTTTATATGTATATTTAAGTAGCTGTAGATAGATATACACAAATACTTAAATTCCTCTGTCACTGTCATTTTTGCCTACAATATTTTTTTTTCGGATATTGTCTTTGAGTTTAGCGTAACAATCTTGTGCTAAGATTTTTTTCAACTTTCAAAACTGCTTTTCCTGTCTGTTCCCACATTTGAATGTGATTCTTTTACAGTCTCACGTGCTACCGTGGTTTGTTTTGTTTGCTGGGTTGTAAATACCAAATTATGCAGGCTGCTCCTCCGATAGTATCTTGCTAGCAAATTCCCAGAATAATCCTCGAGACTACGTTTTTGGTCCCTCTTCTACTCCAAAAATCATAGCATCTGCTGTTGATGGGCACGGTGCTCCTGCCAGGAGCAGGACCTGGCCTAACCTGACCCCGTTCCCGGAAACGGCGCAGCAGCCGGGTGTTTCCTCCCTCGCACACCGCAACTGCCGGGCTTCGCCCAGGAGCTTCTCTTCGTCTGTTATCTAAAGGTGAAATAACTTCAGTGACTTTTTTTTGCCGTGCGTATGGTAAAAGTGAACTCTTTGGAGAGCTTAATCTGCAGCAGCTTGACCGCGCTGGCGCATCCCTTCCCTCTAAATGTGCAGTTGACTGCGCACTCTGCACCCAGGGCTTGCTCTGGCGTAGGTGTTCCCACGCTTTACGTTTGATCAGAGTCCAGAAGACACAATGCTCTTCTACTTAGGAGCAAATGCTCTGCATAAAACACTTAGAGGTGTATTTGCTTTAGTGGTTTTGTAACACTGGTTTGGGGTTGGGTTTTTTTGTTTTGTTTGTTTTCTGAGCTTTTCTGGAATGGATAATTGGTTACTGATAACTACATTAATTGCAATACCCTTTAGTCATTACTTTACTAAGGATTACTTTACTAAGTTGGCAGGATTCCTTGCACTTATAAACAGGCTTTAGGCCTGCAAAGCAATGTGTCTCTGGGACATCTCATTCCTCCCTCATACAGGTAAGTGGGGGGGTAATAAATCTGCAGCATTGTGGTTTGTTTGGTTATTTTTTTTTAAATAAGCGGGCTTGTGTTTTATAGCAGTACAGAATATAGCAGTGCTTCCACAAGTGCTTTGGTATTTAGGATTTTTTACTATTTTTGTTTCCTGTCTTCTGTAAAAATGTGTCAGTCTGTCATTATGATTTTGTTTAATAGTCACCTGCAAATATTTCCCAGAAGAGCTCGCATGATTATTTTTTGACCTTTTTTCTTTACAGCTTCTGGTAGAGATACTCAGCTTCCTCTGACGTCTAGATGAGTGCTTGATTTCAGTTGATTTCATTTTTAACCTGACAAAGTTCCCAGATCAGTGATACTAACCACAAATGTTGATTTTTTTTTTTCTTTATTCAAACAGTGCTTTTACTATACGTGATTGTTTGTAAGGACCAGGTGCATCCACACCCTACTATTAGTGATGATTACAATAATTTCTTTCAGTTACTGTATTACTTTGCAAAATATTTTTCTTGCCCTGGATCAAATTACTCACATCAAAGTAAGTTTCTGAATAGGTAGGTGCAGGAAATCGTATGGGTCTGTGCAAATGTTAAGTGTATCTCACTACCTTGGAAGAAAATTGCAAACATGGGTAACTATTTGAGCAAAATGAAACTACTGTTTCAAATCAGCAAAATAAAATAAAAATTAACTGTTTTTTTCCCCATGGACACATGCAGAAATGCCTTCTCATCTGCACATCCAGAATCTGGGCTAGGTAGGAACTTCTATTGCCTTTTTCTAACAATTTGGAATTAGGAGGATCTATGGATTTCTTAACTCTGTGGATTTTAGGATGTAGATTTCTCATAGGTGGGCTTTCTAGACAATTTTTTATTAATGCATTTTTAATCTATCTTAAACAGATTTGATTCTTTTTTTTTTTTCAAACTTCTTTGCAAATATTTTCTTCTATTTCAGACTTCCCAACTTTCTTCCTTGCTTCTCACAATGTTTTCATACTAGCCAGCACAGCCCTTTATTATCTGAAATCTTAAAGCAGTGTTTGGCAGTATGTCTTGTCAAGACCTTATTGTCACTGGGAGAATTGTTCTTTAAAACATCACATAATCTGGAAAACCATTTTACAATCTAGCTGGCCTCTGTTTTCAAAGACTTGATCATATCACAGTGTTGTAGACTGAACAACTGATCCTGGGGGCATCTTTCCTAACGAGGTTTGTTTCAGCAGACACAATTTAGGGAGCGTTTACCCGGGTTGCTGGGCTGGGAGCAGGTGGTGAGGAAGCATGGGCCAGCTTTAACTCGCTCTGCTTACGTGTTCCAGCCTTGCTTCAAATAATCTGGCCGTTCTGGCGGTTATCAGCATCTTGCTGCTATCTGCTTTGCTAGTCGGACCAAGACACACCTTCTGTAAACGTCAGCGCCTTTTTCTGTAATATCCGAACGCACGTGGGGTATGCAGGTGTGCAAAACCGGGTGCAGCCTTTCCATGCTTAGATAAGACTTTTAAAAAAAAAACAAACAAAAAAAAACAAAAAACAAAAAACCCACAAACAAACAAAACAAAACCAACCAAACAAAAAAAAAACACAACAAAAAAACCCAGAACTGGCAGTTGGTTCAAGGTAGCTTTATGTGAGAAAAAAAATTAGCATGAAAAGTTGGGTAGTGTTTGGAGGAGATAAGAATAATCTGATTTATCATATCCTTTAATTCCACTGAAAATGTTACACTTCTGTGTCCTGGGTTTTGATGTAATAGGGCTGTGTTGCTTCTGGCTCACACGCTGGATTTTATCCATAGGTTGCTCTCCCCCAAGGAGGGGTGAGGAGTGGCTGTTCAAACACACGTTCAGGTTGGAGTAGGTAGCATGGCCTCAGAAACCAGCGCTGTGACCCGTGTCATGCTGCTGAGCTTGGGATGCTCGTGGATGGACCTGCTGTACCCTAAGCTGCTGCTGGAGGCAGGAGGGAAGGGAGAAGCAGAAAAGGGGGGAGAAGAGGACCCTAGCACAGCTGTGCCCTCTGCCCGTGGCTTTGGGAGGGTGGGAGGAGGAGGTGTTTTCTCTTGGGTGAAGATGCCTGGCAGAGCCCTGAGTTCACATTGCCGCCTCTGCAGTTTATGGGGTGGGGAGTGGAGAAGGTGAAATTGGATTGAGATGCCTGCTCGTCCAGATCAGCTGTTTTTACTTACAGCCTACAAAATGCCACCTTTGAGCACACCTCTTGCTAAAAGGCCATCTGCTGTTTAATTCAATGTCCTAACCCTGTTCAAATTAGGAAGAGAAAAGGAGGTGGTGGTGTGAGTCGGCACGTTCACCACCCACCGTAACAAACGCAGCAAGCCTGGTTCCTAGCCCACCGTGTGCAACCCTGCCTGAAGCAGGATCCTGACAATGTTTGCTAGATGATGCTGTGGTGGCGCGTATATGGCAATGTCATGTACCGTAGTCACATAAATCACGTTAAATCGGGTATAGCAGTGACACATGCTGTTTTGAACTTCCCAAGAGAAGCTACAGAATCTTGAACTTTCTGTATTTTCAGGCATTCACAATGAAACTTCAAAAGCAAAACTTAAAAATTTCAGCAGTCTAGAACAATTTTGGTTTTGTGGTTGCTGAGAATAATTTTAACATCTTGATTTTCAACACACACTTGTTTCCATTAAAAATGCTCCAGGACATTATTTCTAAAAGAGAATTATACCTTCAGAAAGCATTAAATAATTTGAGCCAATTATATTCTTAACACATCTTTGGAAACTCACAGAACATTTCATATTTTTTCTTAAAATACGAGTAACTTGGCATATAGAACATAAAATTTGGAGATTAAAAATGTATTTTCTCTTGCCGTATCATTGGTGCAGTTGTGGTGAAAGTCTTACATAAAAGTATGTCAGCAACCATTCCTAATTAACTCATGGCAGCATGCCCGGTGTGCACACATTCATGCTCTCTCACCCTGTGTACAGATACGCATCTCTAAGAGACAAACAGCTCCTTACAATGAAATAAATTGAGTGATTACATTAATTGACACAAATGTTCTCTAAAATAGCCTATTTAATTTTGTTTAGGCGTTTCCTGACTGATGTCTCCTTAGTTTCTAATAAATAACCTATTGTAAAACTTGCTAACAGAAGATTTCGTAGTGTAGTAGATTCCAAGGTTAAATTATTAAACTTGTCAGCCATATAGTCTTGCTTAGACCGTGACTTGCAAATGCAGTGTAAAAAAAGTAAAATCAAAAACCCACAAGAATGTGGACGTATGATGATACACCTTTACATGCTTTGCCTTAGTTTGCATTTTGAGGGGGTAGATGCTTGAGCAGGTGCTGTAGTGAAAGAGCCAGGAAAGATGGTACATAGTGAACTTCTTAAAGTTTATGTTCAGGCACAGTGTTATTCTCTCTCTCCTCCCATCGAGGAATGTAAAGATTTGTGGATGAATACAATTAGAATTTTTAAAATGTAGGCGTTCATTTTATTATAAATTGATAAACAAAAGCTGTGTCTTTTGGCATTTCTTGTTTTATACCTGTCTTTTAAGCCGCAGTGATCTAGCAGGAGGATTCCTGGAACATCCACCCAGCGAGGCAGAGAGTGCCAGAGGGAAGCCGAGGCTGGCGCAGGCCGCTGCTGGAGCAGGGCAGTGTCCCAGCCTTCTCCCAGGGCGGTGGTCAGGGGCAGGCCCGGCTGCGTTTTCTCTGGGTGCAAACTCCTGCTGTGCACAAAGACTCTGCTTGTGCATTTTCTAGTGGGGCTGCAGAGAATAGGAGCCATCAGAGGGCAGAGGCTGAGCAGGTGTCACTCCTTTGCATTACATTACCCATTATCGTTGTTACCTGTTATCATTGTTATCCATTATATATCGGTATTTTTCAGTGAAATCCAAGTGCTATTTAAAACGTGCCTTTGTTTTGTTGGCTTTAAAAAAGCTGCTTGCAAGCACTGGCAATGGGTTTTTTCTCAGTGATTGATCCTGGTATCTGGTAACTTTTTCCAAATTCAGCTTGACTACAAATACGTGTATGTTTCTGAAGAAAATGAACGCACTCAACATGCACACGTTTTTAACTTAAGTGTTTTTTTTTTTTTTTAATATATGTAATTATTATCTCTATAAATAGTAAAGTTCCTGTGGTTGAATGAGAGTAGTGAAGGAATATGTTGGGCTACACATGACAGTGCTTCTGCATTTATTGTCCATGCTTGGAAATGTTACGTTTACAGGCAACTCATTTCCTTGTGTCTATGTTATGTTTTACAAACCGTTTGGTAGTTATGATAACTAGGCTCAAGGTGATATATCAGGCAGCTGATATTAGGGACTATAGGTAATTCCCTGTCGTTTAACTTCCACCATACAAAAGTTCAGCATCTGCTGTATAGTTAAACCTCTGTAGACAAGGGGGAAGTCTCTTTGTCTGTGCTAGATAAATGTCTTAAGGAGGGTGAGGTGAATCGCCCTCTGGATTTGCCTTTATGGACACGCAGAGTCCAGACAGTTAGCTTAAAGATAGCACCTAGCCTTTAGATGGCTAACGTGAGATGCAATTAATCCTGCCTTAACGTGATCCCCTATATTGGGAAAGGACAGCGTTACGCATTGGAGGGTGGCACTAAAGAGCGCCCTCGCCAGAAGCTGAAAGCAGCTTGCAATACAGGCAGTATAAATATACATTCCCAGTATCTGCAAAAACATATTTTGGGACTGCTGTCGCCAGTTTGTATCTTCCCTGTCATTTTAATGACATATTGTAACTGATAGGCATTTGTTTTTCTGAATAACCCAAAGTAGGAGTGAAATGATTCACTTGGAAAGTAGGAGCTTGGATACGTGGCTGACACACGGAGAATAAAAATACATCCTGAAGTTTGCAAAGGTGAATACAGAAGAAGCACTGCTAAGGTGGTTCTGTTGTAAATAGCAGTTAGGAAATGGAAAAGCTGAGTTATGGCCACTAGGCTTCAAGTCAGGTTTCATACTTGTAGTGAGTTTTTTTTGAAGCTTGTGTATCTTGTGAAGTGGTAATGTTTAGTGTCCATGTGCATGCTGCTTAATTGTTATTCAACAACGCTTCTTAGGATTTCCATTTCAGGGGTTCATTCTTTTATATTTGGTGATTTTTCTTACACTGTTGTTTTTCCAGGGTTTAAACGCTTTAGGTTTGTAATCTCCTCAGTGGGGTTATTGTTTAAAACTGAGCAAAACTCTTTGAAATTTCTTTCAAAACAGAAAGATAAGGAAAATTATGCTTCATTTTATCAATAATATTTGAGACTGCTAGCAGTTGAGATCTGGTAGTAATCTAGTAAGGAATATGTGTCTTGGAAATAATTTCCGAGATAAACATGCAAATAAAACTTGAATAACTTTTTTTTTCTAATTTTTTAGAAGTAAAAGTTTCAAAATTTTAGTTGGTCTATACATGACGATCAGTTTTCCCCAAAATAACTAAAAAGCACAGTCATGCTCTGTGTGTTTTAATGTGCAAGGTGGGAGATGGTTTCTTTCTTCGGGGGGTTTTCAGCCTTGTCCGACGGCCTGTTTGGGGGGAAGCGGGCTGCGGGGGAGCCGGGCACCGCACCAGCCAGTGTGGCCGTGCCGGCCCACAGCCTGCCCTGCTGCCCTGGCGAGTCGCTTCTCTGCATTTGCGGGCTGCTTTCCACCACGGAGCTAGTAAATAAAACACCCTTTTTAGTTTTGGCCTCTTTCTTGACTTCAGAAACCTAAGAAACGTGTACGGTGGTATGCGCCGTAGGAGTCTGACCTTTTCCACAGTGTAGGGTGTGCTCATCGAAGGAGGCAGCAATGCACAGTGAATCACAAACAGTTTGGGGATTGCCTTGCTCTGTGTCAAATTATGCGTCCCATCTCCAGCATGTAATTTTCAGGCAAATCCATTGAGGCCTTTAATCTATAATTAGGCTTATAAGCTTCTTTAGACCTTTTGGATTTCCTTTTTTAAATAATGGAATACAACATTATTATTCCGTGAGTCTTTCTGACATATTTTCCAGAGAAAGCTTTCCTGGAGGTTTTCTATTTATTTCTTTTTTCCTTCAGTTTTCTAGAGCGGGTAGGTAAAGATCCTATTTCCATCAAGAAATCAACTGAAATTACCGGGTACAAGTGACTGTGATATATAAGAAGAATTTTTTCCTGGCAGTACTAAGCATAAATGTTTTTCAGTAGGCTAAAGTAAATATGTATTTCTAAAATTGGATTCATACAGTGGATTTTTCTGCTTTTTTTAAAAAAAAAAAAGTTAATTAAAATGTCACTCCTTTTTCATGTGTTAATACATGAACATTTGGCAAAATAAATCTCTGCTGTCACCAGCCATTGGTGTGAGGCAGTTCTGTCTGTGAATGCCCCTGTTTGCCTCGGGACAAGTTACAGCCTGGAGGGACAGGCATTTTTGTACTTCACAAGTGTGTGGGTATGTGTATCTACCAATCTATGTATATCTGTATGTGCGTATGCATACATACGCATCATATACAATGAGTGTCGTTGCATAGCATTCCTTTCGTGTTTGAGAAGCAGCCTTCTGTGTGCCTCCTCTGCCCAAGTGTCATTTCTCAACGCCCTCAGACATACGGTGTGAATTTTGGGGTTGTCCTGTGCAGGGACAGGAGTTGGACTCGATGATCCTTGTGGGTCCCTTCCAACTCAGGACATTCTGTGATTTCTCCTTCTCATTTTCAGGTATTTATTACAAAAGTACTCTACAGACTGTTTTTTTCCTCATAAGAATTTTAATTTTTGGAATATTCAGATTCAGACTTTTTTTCTTCCTGTACCACAGATCTTAATAGATATTGCCTAATCTTTAAAGAAACCTATAAGAAGTCTTTTTTTATTGCAAACACAGCAGCATTAAATAGTCAGTAAATATATTCTCAATGTGCCATAGGTAAGCAGTTTTCTTTTGATGTTATTTTCTGGGTGTTTGGGGGAATTTTGGTTCCCCTAAATTGACCTAAGGGATTTTGCTGTCACATTTTCTACTGATCAGGTCTGGTTTCCCTCTTCAGCTCCCCCTAGCATAGGTTTTGGGGGACTTGCTGCTGTTCTGTTTTGGTAAGAGGGATGTCCTACCTGCTTCGGTATCTGTTGTGACCTAGCAGTCTACAAAAGCTGAAGTATGTCCTTCTGCCCCTTAAAAGCCCCGGTGACTCCAGGCAGTAAGCTGGAGGCGGTGCTGGAGCGTGCCCAAAGAAGGGCAACAAAGCTGGTGAAGGGTCTAGAGCACAAGTCTTATGAGGAGCGGCTGAGGGAGCTGGGGTTGTTTAGTTTGGAGAGGAGGAGGCCGAGGGGAGACCTTCTCGCTCTCTACAACTACCTGAAAGGAGGTAGTAGCGAGGTGGGGGTCGGTCTCTTCTCCCTAGTAAC